CGGTTGGCAATCAGTACCTTCCTCCTGCCGGTGGTGGCCACGCAGGTGGAAGCGGGGTCGGTGGCTCACCCTCGAACACTTACGGAACTCCTAGTTCTTTCGGAGGTTCAGGCGGATCACCCTCTAACACTTACGGAGCCCCGGGAGGCGGCTTCGGCAATAGTGGAGGAGGTGGCACCCCATCGAGTACATACGGAGCTCCAGGAGGCTCTAGGAATGGTTTTGGAGGTGGTCAAAGTGGCTTTGGTCAAGGGAGCGGTGGTGCCGCCCCTTCTAGTACGTATGGGGCACCTGGTGGTAGCAATGGAGGAGGCCGCTCTGGATTTGCTGGTAAGAGAGGTGGGTCTCCTTCTAGCACTTATGGAACTCCAGTTGGATCTCAAAGCGGAATCGGGCGTAATGGTGGCGAAAGAACTCCTTCTACTACTTATGGTGCTCCTGGCGGTGCACAGAATGGTTTTGGTGGTGCATCTCTAGCAGGCGGAGTCGGAGGTGGATCTCAAATTGGACTCGGACGTATTGGAGGAGGCTCAGCACCTTCCAGCACTTATGGCGCTCCAGGTGGAAGTCAAAATGGCTTCGGAGGTGGAACTCACGGAAGTGGTGCTCCGTCCAGCACTTATGGCGCTCCAGGTGGAAGTCAAAATGGCTTCGGAGGTGGAACTCACGGAAGTGGTGCTCCGTCCAGTACTTATGGAGCTCCAGGTGGATCTCAAAATGGATTCGGACGTAATGGAGGCAGCAGAGCACCTTCTGGCACTTACGGCGCTCCTGGCGGCGGACAGAGTGGTTTCGGTGGATCTCCTTCAAGCACTTACGGGGCTCCTGGTGGCGGACAAAGAGGTTTAGGTGGAGCTCTTGGCGGAGGTCAGAGTGGTTTCGGTGGATCTCCTTCAAGCACTTATGGTACTCCTGGTGGTGGACAAAGTGGTTTTGGACAGAACGCTGGGAGAGCACCTTCCAGCACCTATGGAGCGCCTGGTGGCAGTCAAAATGGTATCCACGGTGGGAGTTCAGCACCTTCTGGTACTTATGGTGCACCAAATGGCGAAAGCGGTGGTTTCGGGATCGGATCAGGAACGGGTTCCAGCGGAGCTTTCTCTGGAGCTGGATCCGGTTCGAGCAGTGGATATGGAAGTGGCACGGGCGATGATGGATCTTCTGTGAGTAAGAGTGTTTGAGACAATTTAATAGAGTTTTAAAAAATGTCGGCAGAATATGTTCCAATACTTCAAACCAAACTGATGGGAAAACAAAGTCTGATATTCTCTGTTTTGAAGCATTAAGGTCCTTCTCCCTAATTAAGATCTTTGAGCAACTAATTAACTGCCCAACTTGTCAAATGTTGAAAGATAAATTTCTCAGCGTAAAGTAGAAGAATCAGAGTTTTCAAGTTTAGGGAATGTTGCAGGAACCAGCCCGTTATGAATTCAGCTATGATGTTAATGACGCGGAAACCGGAACAGAGTTCGGTCACCAGGAGACTCGAGACGGAGATAGCGCTCAAGGTACTTACAACGTTCTCCTTCCTGATGGTCGTAAACAGATCGTGGAGTACGAAGCAAACCAAGAAGGCTACAAACCAGAAATCAGATACGAAGGTGGCGCTGATGGAGCTGGAGGCAGCGGATACTCTTCAGGAGGAGCAGGTGGTGCTGGAGGATATCCATCAGGTGGAGCCGGTGGTGCTAGAGGATATCCATCGGGTGGAGACGGTGGTGCTGGAGGATATCCATCAGGTGGAGCCGGTGGTGCTGGAGGATATCCATCAGGTGGAGCCGGTGGTGCTGGAGGATATCCATCGGGTGGAGCCGGTGGTGCTGGAGGATATCCATCGGGTGGAGCCGGTGGTTTTGGAGGAGGTTCAGGAGTTTCTGGAGGAGCTGGCAATGGATATCCTTCAGGAGGACCTGGTGGTGCCGGAAGTGGCTACCCGTCAGGAGGCCCTGGTGGAGTCGGAGGTGGGCACCGTTCCGGAGGACAAGGTGGAGCAGGTAGCGGATATCCCAGTGGTGGAGGCGGATCAGGTCACCCGGGATACTAAAACGTTCGTTCAATTACGGATCAGTATCTCTTAAGTTTGAAACAAAGTTCCTTATATTATAAGTAAAGGAAGCAACATTCTTTCCCACCTAGAACACAAAATATTAATGTCTAACATTTGAAACTTAGGGAATACGGTCCATAATATAATTGCGTTGATTATAATAGGCCTGGAAACAGAGGACTACTGACAAAGATCGTGTGTATTGTTCCCTTTACCTCCAGAACGATGAAATACTTCAGAATATTACATTTCGTGGAAAAGGAGTGATGCACACGGTCAGTGAAAGATGTCTTCAGCAATTGAATGAACTGAATTATGTCTGGGCACATCAATGTATTTCTCTTAGATTGTTATTTTGTTGTGAATCTTAATATAAATAAAATTATTTCATATTATTTTGTGTACCATGTATACGAATGCGTTATTTATCATATAGGGAATAGGTAGCAATATACAAGTAGAGTTACTGTTAACTGTGTACAAAAACAAATTTTATTGATGCTGTTGTACGACTTTAAATCTTATACTATTATCTCTCATAATTTTATAAATGTTTGTATGCAAACCAATAGTCCAGCCAAACGTACGTTGTGGCTTTTCTTAACCTTATAAATAAAGCACATGTGATATTAAATATTTTAAATAGGTCTAACAATTCCTTCTGTATGACACATTCCAACAAACATTCAACTGCAGTCATAGAGTCCTAATAGATTTCAAGACAAGGGCAGGTATTGGAAGAAACAGAAGTTCAGAAAATCCAAAAATTGAATATGCAGAACATTAAACTTCCGTCCAGGAGCCCTTTGATCAGTGGTCACAGATTTGGTGAAATGGAACTCGAACACAAAACGCGTTCTTGGGCCGAGCCGACATTTTACAGTCACGTCAACAACTGCGCTCATAGTGGCCATCGTCGGAGCTACTAAACTTCTCCCGCATGATCCAAACTTTTTTTCCTTGCTGTAGCGTATAATTCTATACAGAACAGAATCATTATATATCCAACTGTGATCACTAATATGCCTTAAGATCAGGACTGTGGAGTCAGTACTAAAATCCCCGACTCCGACTTCGACGCCGACTCCCTCATAAAAGCTCAATATAAGGGAAAACCTACTAAAATTGTAAATGGTACCATAAGAATTTCATCAACACCACGTGAATCATCAGCCTACTTTTTATACTTATAACCTATGTTTAAATATACGTCTAATAGTTATTGAAGAAATCGTTTGAGTTGTAGACAGTCCTAAGTTATCGGAGTCAAAGTTACAAAGCATTATTCCCACACCATGTGGCTCAACGCGTAACAGCGGACTATTACCTAACGTGTAGGCTACCATCACACAATATTATTAAGGGGTAGATAGAATGATAACATTAAAATGAATGTTACAGACGTAAGTTGTCGGCCTGTAAACTGGATTCGTCTGGGTCAGGACAGACTCCTGAAACCGGTTCTTGGGAAGACGGCAATAAATATTAGAGATCTATAAGAGACGTGGAATTTCTTTAAGAGCTCAGGAATTGCCACGTTCTGAAGAAGGTATATGCTATATGGACAAAGTAAGTAATCAGAACGTAGCAAATAAAAAGGCAGCCATGCATGGAAAATGAACTAATAAACGTCGTGAACTGCAATCTGTAAGTGAAAACTCTTTCTTAAGAAAATCGAAACACAGAGTAACGAACATAAGCCCAGGTAATGGAGCACCCCTAACCGAAATGAACCAATCCCGTTGCAGATTGACTAACACCGTTCTGACCAGGATTTGTAATTACCTAGAAAACACTGCACACGCGTGATCCCATCCGAACATCATAACACATTTCTGACTTATAATTATGAAATTTCGATCAGACAACGTTAAGATATAGAGCCAAGTAAAGTCATAAGATGATGCAATGTTACAGTTACGAACACAAAGAGTTTTGAAATCTAAAAACGTATTGAGTCATGTTATTCTGGACTGCTGCTTCATTTAACATCCCTCCCCACTAGTCAGATCGCGTAACTGATTTTCGGTCAATGTTACAGATGGTAGTCACGTGCACATTCTTGATACAGATGCGTCCTAAATTCCGTCCCACCTCAAAATGTATGCTGTTCATTACTACGAAGCTCTCTTTCTTTCTTGTCTCTGTGCAGACGAATTAGCTCTCCAAGGACGAGCTGGTAGCGACAGCGAAAATGACTAAGAGTGCAACAACGGAGGCACCCCCTCCTTCTGCAAAACTTGTTCCTTAGTGAATTAACTGGGAGCCCTTGGCGCATCACAGTTTCACAATTATTAAAGGAATGAAGTAGCTCAGCTGGCCTACGCACCGGGTAACAATGATTAAGTTCTTGGCAGGCGACGTGTACCCGGCCATACTCACATTTGTCTTTCTGTGGTACAGAATATATAGGGCTTTTACTTCAAGCCCCCTATACGTCTTCATGGATTGGTTCTTAGATACAAGAAACCCTTTTTAGAATAAAAACGTAATAGTTTTGATGTTGCTCAAAGTGTCACGAATAAAAACCACCGAATTTACATAACTGCAGATGAAGTAACAATATGCGAATATAATAGACCAGAAACTTCATGCCTCTCTTGGAATGATAACTGATGATAAAATACGCGAAATTGATAAATAATCAAGCATACCGTTGTTAGTTCTAATTATAAGCCAATGACAATGGTATTGCTAGTATAAACAGGCTATTATTAAGCGAATATCTGAAAACGTATCAAACTACATGAATAGAAATGTAAGTAGACTTAAGCCGCTGATATATATCACATCATCTTCACAAGTAATTAATTTAGATGTATAAAAGAATTATTTTTAATATCACTGTTTCAATCATCAGCACATACATACAGTTTATAATTCCTGTAAACTACGTATTACGTGTAAAATTGAACTTTTATCCAGTCTGGCAGGTTTTAATATTTTTTATAACCGGACTGGACTGTGTTCAGTCAGAAACTCGAATCTGATCAGGACTAACAGCAGAAAGACGAGACTAGACCTCATCAGCATTCGCAATGTAGCCCTCCTTCCACGAGCTGTTATACATCTGTTGAAGGCTAGAAATCATAGATGTTCAAGCAAAATATGCAATTCAAGCAAACAAAAAACTCAGCATCAGTTCAATTCCGCCTGTTTTGGCGACAGTTGCTATACTAAAGGCCGTGAAACTCGCCTATAAATGAAAAACACAGTAACTTATTTGTTGGACAATAAATGTTTATGTAACAGGGTACAAGTGTTTTGATGGATTTGTGGTGCTTATTTAAAAATATTTTAATTGTTTTTTTTTCTCACGTATAACGTAGACAAAATCAAATTCAAACTTCGATGCTTTAATCGAAAGCTATATTTATTAATAATTTTTATGTCAGTGAAGTTGAATCTCTGATGTTGATAACGATGTAAGCTTAAGCGGTACTATTGAAAGCTTAAACCCCTAGAAATGAACCCTACTGAAGACGATCAAGTCTGAATCTAAGGAGGTTATGTAAAAGTGGCAATTGGAAGAAAATTCTACGAGGTGAAAAGTAACCTTATTGTATCCCTCAATACAAACGTGTTTGTGTTGACGGCAGAAGGCAAAGTAGGAGCACGCTGTTCAGTTCATTACTGAGAAACAGTTGCCCGCGGGCCGCAAGAGTTTGCATCTGCATGGGTCAATGGTACAATGAGTATCCTGCCAATGGCTAACCCGCACACCTATTCCCATATAGAGACTGTATTTGTGTGGGCAAATATAATACTAATTTGCAGGTACAGATACAAAGAATCAAAGACATAATGGTAATGACTCTAATCATTAGGTAGGTTATGACTTTATGTGATGGTAGCCACAATGAACAGACACTTATATCAATAACAGGACAGGCTCAAGAGCACTGAAATAATTAACAGATGGATCGCCTCTACTGAAAAGGTATAATGATGATTCAATTCTGTAACGTAATATCCGGCTGACGGCATTTTGAAGAAAGTTTAATAACCTGACATATATGTAATTCGGGCCTGTAGCATTAACAGAAATTCCAAAAAAAAAGTGACTCTTTACAAGCTAAAATTATGAAGTTGAACAAGCTTAGGAAAATTCTGCGTGTGCTCAAATCTCTTTCGATATAATATTTTAAAAAATTATGTTATCGCTACTTTCTTGTCTCACAACCAACATTGGTCTGTTTTAAGGTAATATCTACAGACTTTCCTTGGAAGAACTCGGGTTTCGATTTTCAGTCTTCCTGTAGATATAGCTTTGCAGTAAATTGCCCAGCTCTATAAAAGAACTTTTGAGGGCATTCATCGGCCAATTTGTACAGAATAAGGAGGAATACAAAAGAATGTATTGGAGAACAAACTACTTGGGATGAACATATCCTTGACCCCCGCGACCCTGTGCCAGTATGAAAACAGGATGCACATTTCATGATTATATCTCAAGTTCACACGACGTTTATATGATTCTGTAAATTCGCTTGCTGTCTGTCTACATGCAGGCGCAACCGGGATGGTGCGGGGCGATAAACAAACATTTTACTGCCATGTTCATGATGGTTGATTCCTGAATTAAATAGAGGCATGTATCGTTTTATTTCGCTTCGCAGATATTGCGCTTTTACAAATTGAAGGTTTGTGACGACCCTGCGTCGAGCAAGTCTATCGGCGCCATTTTTTCAACAGCTTGCGCTCACTTCGTGTCTCCGTGTCACATTTTGGTAATTCTCGCAATGTTTTTAGACATAATGCTATTGCACACTTAATAGACTACAGTATAGTGTAAACATAACTTTTATATGCACTGGGAATCCAAGAAAATCGTGTGGCTCGCTTTATTGCGATATTCGGTTTATTGCGGTGGTCTGGAACCGAACCCGCAATATCTCCGTTGTATGCCTGTATTTACACTGTCATAGGCCCTATAACGAAACGTCTTTATTCATTTAATGACCTTTTCAACAGAACAGATTACTGCCGACGATTAATTTTAAAGGAACAAATGAAAGCTTTTGTGGTCTATTTTACGATACTATCCTAACATTTCCACGAAGAGAATATGGGAAATCACAAGTATCTCAATAAGAATAATCGGCCTATAAACTGAGAGTCGAACCTGGGTTTCCAAATTTAAAGAAAAAAGTAAAGTAATTCATCCGTATCTTCTTTATTCATTTTAATTTCGTTCTTAGGGAACCACCTACTTCGTTATAAATATTTACTTCATTAAATCTGGAATAATAAATAAAAACGTAAATATACGCCCAATCCACGACGGGGAATCGAGCCCGTGATCCCAATGGCCGTCTTCATAAGCAACGTACGGTGCTACTTCATACCTGAATGTATGTTATATTTTACTTGTATCCCGTAAAACTGCTTACTGAGATGAAAATACATAAGATAAACTACAAAACTGTGTTCTTACCACAGAATAATTGTGGATCTACATATGAATAATGGTTTGGCAGTGGATTCGCGCATCGAGCGAGATTCCAACTAAGATGGTAGTATGCAAGAAATGTTAATTTTGTCAGTGTGTTATTACGTGGAAGCAAGACAGAAGATTAAATCAGAATACGCAGGTGGGAGGAGGATCTGCGTGGCTCTCATAATTGTTGCATACTTTGCAGTCTAAACCTGTTACGTGGTCATGACGTAACAAACATTCTTCTTCCAGAACCACTATCCTGGAAATGACTGGACATAAGATGTTCGTGCGCTGTGTATAGACTCGTCTTCAGCATTACGATTTTGATAGTAACACAGGACAGATAAAGACGACAACTAGTTTTACAGAACTGCGTTTGGTTTAGGTAATGGATAGACGTCCTCACAATATATTTCAATCGTTTTGCAACAGCTGGCCTTGTAATCCTGGGGTCTCGGGTTCAATTCCCGGCGGTGCCCGAATTTATAACTTGTGTTGGGCAAGGCCGTGGTCTAGGCAACACGGAGTTTTCCTCCGGGGGCTTCCCCGGTTTCTCCGTGGCATCCATTCACACACAGAAGAAGGCAATGGCAAACCACTTCTGCATCATCTGCCAAGAACGTATATGAACAGGTCCCAGTCCGATAAAAGGATGGAAGGATCCTGTTCATATGGACCTGTCGTCAGACAGAACACTAAAAAAAAAGACTACACAATACAAACGTCAGTAGTTAAGCAGCAAGCACGCAGACGTTTGAAATTCCGTTACGGATATGTCTGCTTTTATATCACTTCAAGTGTAGGTAATTATAATTAAAATTAATTATTTGCGCAATAATGTAACTTTACTGTAGTTTGAAACAGCAGTTTATTACAAGATACATATAACAGAGTTTGTGATGTAATAAGCAGAACTATTACAATAATTGTATCTGGCAAGCATATTCAAATCACACGAGGGTTTCTACTGAAAGTTGTCGTAATGTCCCCACAGACAGAAGATGATTGCCGCATTCATCGCTGTGACATCAAACACAGTTGCTACCTTCTAATAACAGTATTTTAGATTCATTAAACTGCATCATGCTCGCCCCATTTTTAAATTCAGTCACACTCTATATATTTACACTTATACAAAAATAACGTAAAATGAAATAAAATTACGTACTTTGTAGACTTACCACAGAATAATAACTTGTACAATTCTGTTTGAATAATTACAGAGGAGACGTATTCCACTACTATGTCTGGCAGCAAGTATAAAAACTAGGGATCGTCTCTATGAAAATATCAGCCGTACTTTATCACTTTGCCAGTAACAAGAATCTTTGCACTATCATGAAGGTAAGTGAGCGTCTTTATAGCAATACTAAATTCAGTTACACAAAATTCTGGAATTTTGCTAATCTGGTTTAATTTTTGGATTACAATCTTACAATGTAGGGCCTACTAAATATATTTCCCGCTCGTTAGAAAGGGCTTCAAAAACGTAATTTTCACTGAAATAAGCCCTTCTTATCAAGTACCAAAATATTATCGAGCTTTAAATTTAATAGTTGTCGTACTATTAACAGTACTTGAGCCTCTCCTTCTAGCATTTTGTGATGGTTAATGCCTACGTGCCTCTTCAACAAAACAGTATTGATGAACTTGAAATTCGAATTACACACACAGTGTACGCTAACGTGTAAAACATTCAGAGGATGTACTATGCCATTTTCACTGACATCCATGCTAAAAATAAAAACAGATTTGTAATTTTTTTTAGTTATTTTTAATGTTATTATTACCATGCAGTGTTCATGGCTACAGGAAAACGAACGAAGCATCTTCAAAGCATAAATATGCACCCGATATTTTGCAGGCACAGTTCCTCTTCTGTCTTGCTGCCACGATTAGCGTCTCGCTAGCCCAAGATTACTTGCCACCGTCAGCAGGAGGTGTCTCTTCTGTCTCGCTGCCACGATCAGCGTCTCTCTAGCCCAGGATTACTTGCCACCGTCAGCAGGAGGTGGTAGGGGAGGACCTCGAGGTAGCAGCTACGGGCCACCATCGAACGACGGCCCCTCTGTGAGTTTTCTCAGACATTATTGTAATTTACAGGCACTTATCGTCTCTAACATTGAAAGTTCAGTCCGAACAAGCCATTTCTTTCAACGCAGACGGAACGCGCTACGAAACTTGTAAAGCTTGTCGTGGAATTACTACACGATTCCTGTATTTACAGCACTAAGCAGGTTTACAAGCCGAATTCCAGATCTGGAATGTTGAGCTGGTACTTCCATTGAATAAATGCTCTTGTTTAGTGTTAGAGGTTCACAATCTATCAGTCTTATACTTAACGTAATAATTGGACGTATGCATGTCTCCCCTCGAAGTTTCTGTGCCGAGAAACCTGTCCTGCAAAGGACGGGTATTTGCACTAAAAGGGCATTTCTTGAACCACTTGGTTTCAAATTTTGCGTTAATTGAGCGGTTGCTTTCTGATTGTTAACCAGTAACGCGTTCGAGTCTATGACTTTCAAAATATAATTTTTCCTTGTCTGAAAATACAGAGTTCATTAAATAATTTACAAATCAATAATTTGAATTCTAGAAAACAAAAGTGAATTGCAACAGTGTCGTTAAACAGCCTATAGATCAAGAACCAGAGCTAATTAGTTCCATATTTCTTGCCGAAGGGAAATTAGAAGAGCCATTGATCGGTCATAATATGTATTATCTCTGAATTTCCGCTTCCTTTATCACAGGAACCAGCGAATTACGAGTTCTCTTACGAGGTCCGCGATGCACCTTCAGGTAACGACTTTGGCCACCAGGAGAGTCGTCAAGGCGACGTTGCTATCGGCATGTATCACGTTATGCTCCCTGATGGCAGGATGCAGATCGTCGATTATACAGCCGACAACGAGGGATACAAACCTAAGGTCAAATACGAGGGCACAGCCAGCAGTGCTGGTGGTTATAACTACCCCACCGCTGGAGGATACAAGTACTAAATGACATTAAAGACTGTGGAAGCGTGCGCATTTGTGACTTTCATTATATTGTGATTGTTTAACTAAGCAAATGGAATAAAGCCCTTTATGTAAAAGGTAACGCGTTTTTTAACCGTGATAAGGAACAAGATCTTCCAAGCCTTTGACATATAATAGTAATATTGCTACACTTCTAAGGTAAATAACAACATTAAATTAATTTTATTTGTAACAACTCACGGATAATTGCTAGGAGTTCATAATGTGAACATGTTATGTCCTATATATTTAAGAATGGAATAAATTTAGTTGGTTTAGATTGTTTTCAAAAATGCTCACTCTCAACTGAGGCTTATCCTTCATAATATAACATAACAGGAAAGTTTTACATATACATTTCGTATGATAAATCTATGAAAGGTAAGTTTAACTGCCAGTCTCGTTTTATAAAGAGACAATATGTGAAAATAATTTTCAGAATTATGGCGAAAATAAAGTAAGAGAAATTTTTCAAAACAGGTTCTGCTGACCCTCAACACCTCGCATTGTTTCATTTCAACATCCATCGATACTTTGAAACATAATCTAAGATGTGAATAAGCCCCATCCTCTTGTGGATTTTGCAACAGTTTCTTATTTCATTATGTATGTCGAGTCAGTATTGTGTGCAGTGCAGCCATTGAACAATGTCGCCATCATGTGTAAGGACAGCATTGCTGTGTCTCTCTTCAACACGAGTTCAGACGAGTTATTCATTTTCTCCTGCCTCAAGCAAAACCAACCTAATTAGCAGGTTATTGTCCACTATTCATCCATGAAGATGATGTGTTGATGACTAATGTCTGTCTGTAACGAATACTTTTGTTGGGATACAAACATAAATGTCAGTGCAGTTCTGCACTGTAAATATAACTTTCTGTTATGATTAAGAGTGACAGAAGAAGGCAGATAATCGTTAAAAATTATCTTTATCAGGACTATTAAATTATGTGGGCAACAAACAGGAAAACATATGCCCGCAACTTCATACATTACAAATCTCTGTCCCTTCTGGAATCATAAAGCTTCTTACCGAGGGCCCATGTCATGGGTCATGCCTTCCTCTATCCTCATCTTCGATCTGCTTATTTTATTTTGTACTTAAATGTTGTTCATTAATTCAAATCTCTACTACACTTTTAAGTATATTGCGAGAAAATCATAAATTATTTCATCTTTCTCGTACGAACGTACTAAAATTCTGCATGCATTTATCGTCTTCCTTGTCCCCGCCAAAACAATTATTAGCACCGGAATATGTTTCTAATTGGTATAGATCCCGCTTTATTATTGGAACGTGTCGTTACATGATAGGAAATGCCGCAGACTTTCAGTTTAATTTTGTGTGAGGACAGATGTCAAGGTTGCACGAAGAATGAAATTAAAAGGCTATCGAGCCTAATGCACATCTTCTAGGTGAAATGAGTTGGAGTAATTATACAGAAACAGACCAAGGGCACAAAACAAAGAGCTCCGGTTATGAAAGCGTGTAAAGTCATCATTAGTCACCAGATCCGTCTTCCATAATGAACGGTAGAAGTGCTGATAATGGGAACATCAAATATAATTTCATATGGTAAATTGAACGGCAGCTCAGGGTACAAATTCTCTTTATATTCGGTGCAGTATGTAATCGTACTACACTCCAAGTTTGTTCAATTTACGTTTGATCACGATTTAGGCCCGGTGTGATGAAACGCAACAGAAGACATCGGACATTTCCTCAGAAAAATCTTAATTTACCCAATTCATTAAAACATGTTTTAGTCTTAAATTTATGTTTTATTTGTAAGGTAAGAGCTTGTATCGAATTGCATTGTCCGGAACCCGGTAATACAATGCATTGGCCAAGTGGACCATTTCCGAAAAAGTTTGGAAACCCCTTTCGCAGGCTCCATTTAATCGGAAATTCCTACCATATCAGTTTGAGAATTTTTATTTTTATTTAGTTTTTAAAAAATATAATTTTCCACAAAAAAACATATAGGCTACCAACAAGCAATGCATATACCTTCAAGAAGCCAATAACTGTGTGTTAATAAATTATGAAGCATAAAATATTCCAAGAAGACAACGTTATACTGCAACAGTCAACATAACGTCACAACCGCCATGACATCAGTCAACTCTGTTCCCAGAGAGAGATCTATTATTCATCTTCCCAAATATTCTCATTCTTCCCAGTACCAATCATCAATAAATCATTACAGTGCCTTGATAGTGGGCGGTACATAAACCTACAAAATGCAACACGTGCAAGTCCAATAGTAATCAGCTGTTCTCACATCTTTAACAAGATTTATATCATATTCGAATGGTCCAAGGCATTCAGTCCACAAAGAACTAGATTACAATGCGTGGAGAACGACCTCCCGGTTTCTGACTATTTGAATCAATGGACACGTATACAGTATGGACACAACAAAAGAAAAGAAGCTCAGTACCGCTCTGACATTATTTACTGTACACAAACACATAATTAAAAATATTCATTTTGGCATATTTTACTGAGTACGTTCGTTTGTTTTCCTTCTACCCGCAAGTTACTGACGTAGGAAAAACGCACATGTTCGCCCCGACTAAAGTACTAGCGTCACGGATGCTCGCATTCTTCACATAAAATTAAGACCCTGATACTCACATATTTTAATAAAGAAACGACATACGTTTCTACAGTGTTAATGTTGTTTTCTAAGTCCTGCAAGAAATCATATTCAGTTCTGAATTTAAAATAGTACAGAATAAAATTCCAACCACAGCTAACTAGAAAGAATTACAACCACGCAGAAAATTTTAAATCATTGCGAAGTCTCGGAGACTGAAACAGACTAACGACCAAGAACATAAATGGGTTGTTACAGCACAACTGTTTACAAATTTAATGTAAAAGTATAATTGAGAATATCGGACACACTGGAAAAAGAACCTAAGTTCGAAATGTCCATTTACTGACGGACGCAACAAGAATGGCTTTACAACTTTCAATGCCAAAACAATTTTGGGTTTTAAATTGAACAGACAGGAAGCACGTTTGAAAGAAAACTTCGTTTATTCAACCGACAACAATATTAATGCGTCCTGATAGTTTTGGGAGGAAAATGGATTGCTTTACAATTGTTACATATGTTAAATAGCTTGACGAGAATATCATATTTTGATGAAAATTAAATTTTTAGTAACTAACGTTAGAATTGAAGATTTCTGTCTTCTGGGTTGCTGCGCCGTGTAGCATGGTAGGTGTTTACCAACGATGAATCGCCCTGATGACGGAGGCAATGTGACCTCTGAAACGTTGGTTGACATCTACCAGACTACACGGCGCAACAACCCAGAAGACAGCAATCTTCATACTCATCGCCCTGATGATGGAGGCAGTATGACCTCCGAAACGTTGGTAAACTTCGACCAGACTACACATCGCAACAACCCAGAAGACAGAAATCTTCATCGCCCTGATGACGGAGGCAGTATGACCTCTGAAACGTTGGTAAACATCGACCAGACTACACAGCGCAACAACCCAGAAGACAGAAATCTTCATACTCATCGCCCTGATGATGGAGGCAGTATGACCTCTGAAACGTTGGTAAACATCGACCAGACTACACAGCGCAACAACCCAGAAGACAGAAATCTTCATACTCATTGCCCTGATGACGGAGGCAGTATGACCTCTGAAACGTTGGTAAACATCGACCAGACTACACGGCACAACAACCCAGAAGACAGAAATCTTCAGACTCACCGCTGTGAAAACCTCAAATAATACAATGTTAGAATTACTAAAACAAGTGCATGAAAAATTTATACAAACAGAGGTACTGCGCTGTGTAAGGCGAAAGAGGGGGTTAAAAGTAGGTGCAGACTATGAACCAAATGTGTGACATCATTTTAATTACTTTTTTTTTAAATTTCCTTCTTTCAATACTGACTTTTTATGAAAATCTCCAGGCGACGAACAAGCAGTTTCGCTGTTACGTCGAAATAAGCGTCCCACAGTAACCACCGCTTGAGGTCCTGTTTCCCACAGCCTTTCCTCCCGATTTTGTGGGAGACATAACTCAAGATTGCCTGCGGTTACTACATCTGACTGTTACGTTCGAGGTCCTTTCACTTTCTGCACTAATAACTGCAGCTGCTTCGTATTTATTTGATGGATTCGACTAGTGACGAACGGCAAGCGACAGCACAGTGGAATTATGCAAGGCGGTACAGACAAAGCTGCTCAGCCCCGTCCTTCATCGACACTTCAGCTTCTCTAAGCTTTTTATAATGTAAATTTGTTTATGCTGAGAGCATAAAATGAGATTCGGTAACAACATTCTATTCGATCGTATACTCAAATTATTGGATCAGTAAAATTGTATCCTTAAAAAACAACTTCAAGACGTCATATCAATTAAAAATAATCGATGGGTTTCTGAGAAAAACGACATAACTCAACTGTTTGGGAAATAAAAAATAAACCTGTCCAGTTGAGATTCTTATTTTATTCCAACGAATTTACATGTTGCAACATAGAAATGTAGTTACAGTAACATAGGTAGTTCACTTTTATTGATACATCACAAAAAAAAAACCTGTATTTCGCCACTAATTTTTTTCTAGACTAATGAGATTTCTGCCTGAATGATATTACCCCCTCATGAGTGCAGGTTTATTCTTTAAGATTACAATATATTACATTACATAAGATTATATTAAATAAAATTTACCCCTTATATCTTAATTGCATCATGCTTGTGTTTCAATACAATACTTTTATTTTCCGTCGTTTACACAAGCTTATTGTTAAAATCATATAAAATTTCACATAAAATTGTTACATTTTAAAATTGACGACATGTTTCGATATACAATCTTATCATCGTCAGGTCTATCAAAATTAAAATTAAAATCTGGTGTATCTGTTGCTCTGCTTATATTGCTTTTGTTTTTACTCGTTTTTATTACATCTCCAGGCTTCTTCGATTTTATTTTTG